GGCCTCGCAAGAGAGTTATTTCACAACAACAGGGTTCTAATAGGAAAAATTGTAAGAGCCAAATGGTCGAAGCGAACTATGCTCATATAGATTGGCCCAAACCCAGGCGTGTAATAACGTGCAAAGAAAGTCCTCCTCTTTACCGATATATTATATCCAAGAAATATTCCTCTATTTAGAGATTTATTATGTAATCAGAATTAAGATAAACTCGATGACTAAGCCTACGGGCTACTTTCATTTCGAGTTCGAGCAAACACTCACTCGACCATTACGCCTACGGGCTACATTGCTTCGAGTTCGAATCATTCACTCGACTAAGCCTATGGGCTACTTTTATTTTGAGTACGAGCAAACACTCACTCGACCATTACGCCTACGGGCTACATTGCTTCGAGTTCGAATCATTCACTCGACTAAGCCTATGGGCTACTTTTATTTTGAGTACGAGCAAACACTCACTCGACCATTACGCCTACGGGCTACATTGCTTCGAGTTCGAATCATTCACTCGACTAAGCCTATGGGCTACTTTTATTTTGAGTACGAGCAAACACTCACTCGACCATTACGCCTACGGGCTATATTTCTTCAAGATCGAATCATTGACTTAACTAATAAGCCTAGGGGCTACATCGATCCGAGTTTGAGTGAGCGCTCGTTCGGATACAGAGGCTACGAAGTCCAAATTTGATCAAGTTATTTAAATCATTGTGAAAACATTCATAAGGCGTGAATAAAATCCTCAAAAGACAGGAAACAAAAACAGAAGAAAGTCAGCAAAAAAGGAGATATATCTATATACAGATTTATCTGCATGGGTGATTACAACGTAAAAACTAAGAACTAAACTTCTCGGCCAGGAGCGGTCTCTTCTTTATCAGGCTCCGCCCTGTTTTTGGATTCGCTCTTGCTCCCATCATCATCATCGTCATCATCATCGCCATCAAAAACTAGAGCTTCAGCATCGGCTTCGAGTTCTTTGGCCCTTTTTATCTCTTCAGCGAGATCAAAACCACGAGCATGGATCTCCTCGAGAGTTTTCCTTCGGGATCGGCACTTTGCAAGTTCGGCGACCCAATGTGCTCGAGTATCGGCAGACTTGACTGCCTCTCTTTCCTGGACTTGGGCAGCTTCAGCATCGGCCCGATAGACGGCCACGAGCGCATCCGCTTTGGCCTTTGCCTTTTCGGCATCAGATTCTGCCTTGGCAAGTACAGAGGCCAACCGAGCCTCAAGCTACTCAATTCTTCTTACTTGAACCAGGCTTTTTTCCTTCATTTTCTAAAGTTGGGTTTTAGACGATGATAACTGGGCTCGAGCAGTTTCTTTTTCTGCAACAAAGCGGTCCATATCTTCTTTCCACCGCAAAGACTCCGTTCTTATCACGTCGACCTCCTCACGAAGCTTCTCGATCATCTCGATTTTTTGCTGCAGCTGTGAGACCGAAATATTAGCTATCGTTCCGGTATCATGCCCATAGGCTTTCAAAAGCATCATTACCTTCTCAGACAAATCGGTCTGATCTCGATAAGCCTTGGCCAGCTCAGCTCGGAGGTCTTTTATTTCCTCTTCTCTATGCCCTAAGGAAAGTCTAAGGGGGTTCCTCTCGTCAGTGCCCGTTGTAGGTCGGCCTCATATCGATGCAGCTCATTTTGGGATCGAGAACATTGTTCTCGATGAACTGCCGCTGCCTACAAAGAAACAAGAAGCGAAGTTAACAAAAAATGAACATAAAGATAGTACCGACAAAGTAATTTTAAAAGCTCACCTGATTCAAAGCTTGCCGCAATCCGTGAAAAAGATCCGATTCATCGCCAGTACCGGCAACGTCTTTAATGACGGTAAACAGGTCACGAAAGGGATCTTCTTCATCGTGAGGCCTGTCTAGATCGAGGGCTCCCAGAGCTTAAGCTTCCCGAATCACCCTTGCGGAAAAAGCGGGAAAGATAGGTGAATCCTCCATTGTTGCTGCCCCGAATGAATCGCCTGGATCATTCTCCTCGGTTCGAAGGGTTTCGAGGGCGTCCTTAGTCGTATCCCCTGCCCGTTGACTCCGATGAGATACGTCTTCGATATTCGATAGTTCGGGGACTCTACCCGAATCTTTCTCCGGTATATCCTCAGTTCGAGGAGGAGCCTCATGGAGCATCATCGATCCAGCCGCCGATGAGGCATTGGTGGTTCTCTTCGTTCAGACCGCCAGCGCGGACTCATCGTTTTCTTCTTCTTCTTCATCCCTTAGGCGCAGAACGGATTCCACGGTCAAAGGAATGACATTTTTGTTCGTCTTATGAGCCATCCTCTTCTTCGGTTTTGGATCTTCGGGAACGGAGGCTCTTTTCCTTTTATTTTCCTTCACCGGCTTTGGGACAGAGGCCGAAATTTCCTCATCATTGGACAAGGGCCTCAAAACCGCGTCTTTACCCAAACCTGCATATGGAAAACCTTAATAAAATACTTTGAAAACCACCTCGTTCAGATCATCAAAGAGTAAGAGAAATGAGCTTACCATGATTTTTGGCCTCCCACCGACCCTTTGACAAATCACGCCATGAGCGCTCGGTGTATGTGGAGGTCAAAACTAGGGCTCGTACCCAGTTCTTGAGATCGGGAACTGCTCCGGGCATCCAGGGAATCGCTACATCACGAAAAGAGGAGTGTCGATGAGAGAATAAATGAAAGAACAAAGTAGAAGTAACAGCAAGATCACACTTACGTTTCATATTCCACTCCTCGGGAAAGGGCATCTTTTCAGTCGGAATCAGGTCCGAAGTCCTTACTCGAACGAACCTGCCCATCCAACCCTGGTCCTTGTCCTCGTCAATACTCGAGAACATAGCCTTGGTAGCCCGTCACTGAAGTTTTATTAACCCTCCTCAAAAAAGTCGAGGACGGTACAATCGGATAAGATGGTCGAGGGTGAACGACATCCCCTCGATTTTGCTCACAAAATATCGGATCAGGATAACGATCCGCCACAAAGAATGATGGACCTGGCCTAGGGTTACCTGGTATTGATGACATAAGTCAATAATAACGGAATCGAGGGGACCTAAAGTGAAAGGGTAAGTATACACATTCAAAAACCCTTTCATATAAGAAGTGATATCTTCGTCAGGGGTGGGAATTATTACTTCTTTTTCACCCCAATTGCAATCCTTCTTTAGCTGTTTGAGGTGCTTCTCGGTTATCGAATACATGTACCTCGATACCGGCTCACACCGGCTAGGAACCGATGAACCTTTATCGACCTTAAAATCTGAAGTAAGAATACATGCCCCGGGAACACACTCCTCAGGTCGTGGTTCTGCCGGTGTCTCATCGGCGGCACACTGTGAAAATGAAGCCTTCTCTTTCTGAGGAATGGTTTGTGATGTTTTCGCCATTTTTGAATCTAAAGGCGAGGAATAGAAGAAAGTGACAAAGATTTGGTAGAACTGAAGAGGAGCTTTTGCAGAAAGAAATCACAGATTTACTGGTAAGTTGGAGAGTACGATGAAGAACTTGGAAAATTTGGAAGATAGAAGATGTAAAAGTGGTAAAAGATAAAAGAAAGGGTTATTTATAGGTTCAAGCGATGGCAGTTCAGTATCAGCGGTGGCCGACCACCACCTGACATGCATTAAATGCCTTGAAAGACTAAACCGACAGCTACCAGATGCGTCGTGGTCGAACCCGATGGAAACGTCAGGTTATAATCCGATCGAGCCGTTAAAAAATCATATCGTTTCTCGCCACATTCTTTCTAAGAAACGAGGGGACTATCTGTATACGGTCGAAATAGATTTCGGCCTTAGCACGTCCGATCGAGTTAGAACGATGATCTATCGAAGTAAGATCCCGAAGGTGGAACAAATTAACCTCGAACCCGGGGAGGCCGATCCGTGTCGAGTTCGATATCATTATCAAGCTCGAATCGAAATCGAACCATGATGCAGAGTAGATCTATCGTGCTGATAATCTAGAGACCAACCAACATTGACCTCGAATCAATTTGAGGGCTCGAGCCAGGATCGGGCTCGAACCAAGATCACGAGCTCGAGTCGAAATCAAGCTCAAACCAAAATCGAGGGTTCTAAGCAAGATCGAGCTCGCAGACAAAGCCGTTGCAATCCCACTAGAGAGAATCTTGGCAGAAATTGTGAAAAAGTTGACTTATCATGGGTCTCCCACTGAATATTTATTTTATTATGCTTAGAACCAAATTCCTCCATTATAAAAGGGCTTGGTTACCATTTCTGTAAGACAAGTTTTTCTCAGGCTTACACTGTAATAAAAGCACTATATTCTTCTACAGTAAAGAATCGTTCTTTCAGATTTCTTAGATTGATTCTATTTGTTGAATCCTAAGGTTCATTGTTCCTGACAACCTTATCTATTTCGCATTCTCTACAATCTACATTTACATTTCTATTTATCATTACATTTTGTGTTAAGTTACGCCACATATCCTCAGAACTGCGTATAAATTCAACTCTATCCATTTTTCGGGTAAATATATACATTTCTTTTTAATATCATGTGTTTGAGGCGAATGAAGATTCATATAACTTACGACAGAAGTATCGGGTTGATCATGATGGTATCTGTTTATTTTGGTTCCTATTTTTCATGCATAATTGTTAATTTAAAAAGTAGATATGTTTATTATATGCATGTTTTATAAATGTACGAGTATGTACTTGTCTTTAAATGAAAGTACTACATCAATAAAGTAGAATCAACGTTTATAATTTTTCTAACTTTATATTTTTATTTTTATTTTATAGTTCAACGAAAGTAATAAAATAAGTGTATGGTTAACGTTTTATCATTTTGCGACTCAAATCTCATGTAATGTATTTTGGAATAAACGTGCAACACATTTTTCCAAAGACTTGTTAGTTAATAAGTTCATTAGCAGTTATAAGTATTTGTGGCAAAAAACCATGCAAGGTATAAACGATATATAGGGGGATAATGACAATATGACATCATAATCAAAATGGTCATGAACCTTGAAGTTTAGTAAAGGATGATTCTTATTCCAACAATTCTTCGTGCTAATTCAGAAAGAATTGATAATACAAACAAATTAAAGGAGGATACAACAAATACAAGCCAGTTGCTCAATTTCACATTTCTTTTTGAGCAACAATTTATTATGTTGATGCTACTTATAAATTGACAATTCAAATCGGTATATATAGTAATACACAACAAAGTCGATATTATAAGATTAAAACAAAATCAAAGACCAGAAGTGAATGGCACGTTGGTGGCTGGCAACCAAGAATTTCCAGCAATGAAATTAGCAGGTGTGAATTTGGATGCCTCAGCAGCACTTGTAATAACACGATAACCACCCCATTTAACCCTATTTGCAGTTGACGAGCCAGGACCAGTGTTCAAGTATTCTCCATAGTACAATGTTTTCAGCGCGAAAGTACCACTCCATGGCATCCAACCATCTGGTTGAATCAAGCTATCGAGGAACGTTTTCATGACAACAGTACGTGAATATTGTTTCCATGGCCTTCCTAAATATGTCTTAACTGAGTTTTTAGAAGCCTTTAAATCCGAAGCAGCTGTGACTCTACAATTGTGAATTGAAATTCCAGTGTTTTGGTTTGGATCACTTCTCCCTTGTGCTGTCACAGTGTTGGTCTTGTTTGGAGGATCTCTAGCAAAAATGTTACAATTTTGTAACACAACTGCTGCGTTTCCGAATATGAAATCAACTGTACCATAAATATCACATTCTCTGTAAAATTGTCTATCAGAGTGGACATAAAGAGTGTCTTGGTACCCCTCAAAACTACATTGATAAAATACTGAAAGGTCTGAGCCAGATCGAAGAGCTACTGCTTGGTGGTTTGTGGGCCCAGCAGTGTTCCTAATTGTTATGCCTCGACAAATAAATCCATCACCGACAACGGCTGAGATTAAGAAATAAGAGGAGACAAAAATATCAGCAAATGCATATCTATACAAATTATTATACGAGTACTCCTTTATTTTCTCTTTTTGAAAGTACGAACCAGTGATACTTAATTAACTGTCAAATCATACTTTTCTAAGGGCTAACCAATTAGACGGCTTTTAAGGCACTAATAATCCGTTAGATAGCCTTTGTCTATATGCACATCTAAGATTTTCCATTAAAAAAATTTCATTTGTCAAATACTTAGGGAAAAAAAAGGAATAAAATAAAACATATACCACATACGTCTACTGATTGTTACCGCGCGTTGCCTCCTAATTAATTATAACTAATGAATAATTGCCAATAATTCTCAATTTACTCTACTTTTTTTCTTTTTCGTTTCTATTTCAAGTTTGACCTAGAATTAATTAGTCGATTAAAACGATTTGTGTAAATACCAAGTACAAATAAACCAATTAGATAAAGCAAAAGCTCATTCATTTTGCTTTCGTACTTACCAACAGTGGCTGATTTGAAGGTGGTGGATCCTCCTCCAACACTCTTGCTTCCTGTGATAATTGTCTTTCCAATTCCATCTCCAACTAACATTATATTCTTCAACTTAGATCCTAAATCCACATTTTCGCTGTAAATTCCTGCCTTCACATATATCACAAACCTTGCACTTCCTTTCCTCTTGCCAGCAGCAGCAACAGCTTCTTTCACAGTCTTGAAATTCCCCGAACCATCTTTTGCAACAACTATATTAGCCTGAGATGCTGGAGAAGATGATTGCAATAGTTTCCGATCACCAAGTGCAACCCAAGTTGGAAAACCATCTACTTGAGTTGCAGTTGGCTCAGTATAGTAACCATGGTTCAAAGACAAAGTGTTACTAATTAAAGATGAAACATTATTTGACATTAATGGCATCACATAATCCGTGACCCCAAGTTCTTCAAAACCAGCTCTGCATGTTTCGAGGTTGGTTAAGGCTGTACTTAACCATGATTGAGCATCAGCAGCTGTGCATTTAGTATTTGGACCAACTGTGCTTTTGATCTTGTGGATAGTATTTTCATATAGTTCAAGACAATCAGCCCATGCAGCTTTTTCACGCTCGTTACGACATTTTGAACCTAGTGAATATGCGTTCGTTTGGGCACGTAAGGCACGGTCTAGGGCTAATTCTAGTGACACTTTGAGAAAATCGGATTTTTTGTTGATAGGAGTTGAATATTTAGGATTTTGTGTCAAGAAGTATTCACAAGGTTGTGGGTGAGGTGTTTGGATACACCAAAATTTTATGGCTGCCTGAGAGTAGCCATTGGTGGATGGGAAAAAGAAAGAAGACACAAATAAAAGTGGGAAAATCAAATAGATATTGGACATTGTTATGTATGTCATGTAATGAGGGAAAATAAGGAGTTTAATGCTACTATGTTTTTGAGAGACAATTGTGATTATATTTGCTGCCATTTGGCTTCTTTATATAGATATATAGATGGAGGGAAACAAGGGATGGTCAAAAACTAGGTTAGGTGATGCGTGATGGGGACGCACTATCCTTATTTCTTCATTTTGAGTTAAATTATTGATTCATGGTCAACGATAAGAATAATAGTGGCAGGAATGAACTTAATTTGGTGCTCAGATTCTATGAGGTTTTATGAAATTAAGAAACTATAATATACTCATAAAAAAGATAGAAAACAGTCTGCTTTTAGTGTATATTTGTTGAATTGACAATGATACAAATGAAGAAAACAAATTACAAAACAGGAAGCTAGACGCGTCTGTGATTATTTTTTCTTGCACTTAGTATCAAAGAAACCGTGTTAGTAATATGTTTCTGGGCAGCTTAATTCTACTATAATATGTGGGTGAATGAGAATATGAGGACATTTCTTGTTAATCCCCTTTTCCTATATTGATTACTCTGTTTTCTTTTTCTATCCTGGATAAGGTGCTCCACGAACTTGCTGTTCGTTCGCATTTATGAGTGGTTAATGATTAATTGGATGGTCGCTATAGTAGTATTATTTTTTAGTTTAATAATTTTTTTTATATATTTTCAGTGTTATTTAATTTGTAATAGCATATTAGTTTCTGGATCAATTTATACTAGGGGTGGACGTCGGTCGGTTCGGATCGATTTTGTAGAAGTTCGGTTCGGTTTATTCGATTTTCGGTTTAGGATTTTAATAACCAAAATCGAACCCAAAAACTTCGGTTCAATTTGGTTTATTCATGTTCGGTTCGATTTTCGGTTTCAAGCCATGGCAAAAATGTTACGAAACAACGAAAATAGATTTCTTGTTGACAGAAAAAGACAAAAGAAATAAGAAATCTTATCAAATACACGAAAAAAATAAGAATCTTTATGCAAGAAAAATCATTCTACATTACAAAAAACATAAAAGAAAATAGTATTAGCAGTATCTTGCGTTAAGCTTGCGTTGGTGCAAAATATTTAAAGCTAAACTATAAAAAGTCAAAATCTTCCTAGTTTAAATTTTTGTTTTAACATACATTAATCTGGCATGATTCAAATTTTTCGCTCGTTTGAAAAGTAACAAGTAAGTTTTATTTGATAAGTTTCATATTGGAATTGTTACTTGTTGTCATTTTGTGTTTCTCTTTTTATTGATATTCCGTGATAGTCTTTTAGTTTTTATGTATTTATGTGATTTTTGGTAGTTAATTTCTTTTTTTAACTAGTATATACAAATCCATTATTCAGATGGATCAAATTTCCTACGATACATGTTTTTTTGTAAAAGATATATCGATCTTGGATAAGGTGACATGCTATAGGTCTGACACACCCAATGGATTGGGTTTCTTTAGGTTGAGAATTAGTTTTGAGCTTTAAGACTAAGAAAGAGTAACAGATTAAGGGACTAAGAGTCCAAAAGCTAGTAAAAAACTTCGATTTTCTGTTTAACCGAAAATCGAACTGTTAAAATCGATCACCGAACTTTTAAAAACTATAAACCGCAAACCGGCCGAATAAACCGAAAAACCGAAATCGAATAAACCGAAATTTTTGGTTCGACCGATTTTTTCGGTTCGATCGACATTATGCTCACCCCTTATTTATACTTATCATGAAATTCTATTACTAGTATTACCTTAAAATATCCTAATTATGTAATTATTTTTTATACCGGTCTTCAACTTATCATTCTTTTTTATGTTTTGCTGTCTGATAACTAACGCAAGATCAGGCATTTCAAGCTGTCTAGCTTCTAGTAACTACCTTAACCAATTCAAGATCTATAGCTAGTAAAAATGATGTAAAAGCGAACTACAGTCGAACCTCCATGCAATGGCATTTTTATATATCAATAATTTACAATAAAAGTTAAGTTTTTTTCAGAATAAAGTTTTTATGTTATATTTTATCTCTTTATAACAAATTATTTAAAACAACAACATCCATTTGTATAGCAGTACGCTCTTTGTAAAGTTACCGCTCTATAACAGTCGTGTAATATTTCTAAGATTACTAACAATAAGTTTGGCTTCAAGAAAAAGCATACAGATACAACTTTGCTGAAAATTTGGGCATAAATCTTTACTAATTCAAGCATTATATCTTTAGTAAGAGATTAAAATCTATGAAACAAGCTAAATTACTGGATTTTTCTATCAATCTTGAAAGAATTTGATTTTTAAGTAAATTTAAAATGCGTGCTTTAGAGTTTAAATCATTGCACGTTTAGTAAAATTTAAATATTGAATTAGTAAAATATGCATATTTTTTGAGATTTTAAATTTGAATAATTTTCTTATCTTTTATATATGACTAGAAAAAATATTTGATTTTTGAACAATTTTTGTAATAGCCATAACACATATAAATGTTAACTGTTGTTACATGTGTATAAATACCATTCACTATAAAAACAAAGAATATCACAAGCTACAATATAGTGTCACAACTCCATATGCTGTTAGTTTGACTCTAATAAGTCACGCCCAAGCTCTATATGTATCACAATTATATATGTAAAGGGTGGCCTTAAGATAAAATCGTACCTCCTGTCGTTTCCATGTTTTAGTGATTTCTCAAGAATGTTTAAAAATGGCATGTTATTTGTTCAATTCTTCCATGTCAACGTCAATATTCCTAATAGAAATTTAATGATCAACTTCTAAAATTTACTTTGACCTACTTGGCAATTTTCATTTCTAGTGCTCCATATGGCAGGTTTTTCCATGGTAGCGTTGCGTGATACTTGCAGCTTCCGATTAAATAGAGCTTTCATTATCGTCGGCCTTAATTAGAAGGTAGTAATCATGTTTACTCACCAAATTTACTTAAAAGGGTACAGTAACATTGCCAAGCACGTAACTTCACTTCCCTTTTCTGGTAGTAATATATGTGCAGAAAAGATCTCTATCAATTATTTTCAACACTTAGAAAACAAACTTGACGAGACAAATGAAATTAAAGGTGTAGAGTCCAGTAGTTTGCAATTATATATTTTTTTCTCCAATTGTATATACGTAGTTCAGTTGAAAGTAATTAATGAGTTCAGTTAAAATTCGCTTATACGAACTAGTGGAGAAAATATTCAAGTAATTGTGTTCAGAGCCGAATGTAGAGTATATTTTATGGGTTTATCTGAACCCAATAGCAAATAAGCACAAACAATAAATTTCAAACCACTAAATCAAATGGGATATAGTAGAACTCTAAACTCGAAACCATAAAATTTAATTATGGATCCGCGTTTGTCTTCTAACTAGGGGTGTCAATGAATATTATAAAACCGACTAAAACGACTGAACTGCACCATACCGTACCGAACCGAATTTTAGGTTTCTTTTAATAAAACCGTAGGTTTTTATATAAATCTATAATTGTACTGATAATTAGGGTAGCTTTTTATTTTATGAAAATAAACCGAAAAAATACCGAACCGTACCGAATAAATTTACAATGTGAATAATATATTTATATATTAAATTTAAAAATAATAAAATATTAAATTTTTTCTTGGGCCTTGGAATTATGAAACAGTTACAAACCAACAAGTAATTAAACTCAAAATCTTAATTCTCAAACCTATTATGCTACTCCTATTGAAACTAAATTATTTCTTGTTCACTAGCAAGACACAAGGTATTGTAGCGATTATGATCAGTAGCAAACTATAATGTATTGAATATATTTCTTTTCGTATGATTTTGATTTATCTTTTTGAATATTTAATCTTGTATAAACTTTATTCTTGAATCTCAGCTTAGTTAAATTTTTTTTTTTACTCGTGTGATTTATATTATTTTTGTATTTGCTTAGTTTCTTTTATCCTGATGTAGAATAGTTAATGGAACTATACTCTAGTCATCTTTTATATTTTCTTAATTCATCACCTTTTAAACTGTAAAAATGTCTAAAGAGTTCTACTAAATCCTATAAAAGTACGTATGTTATTGCATTCTACTTCTACTAGTAACTTTTACATGACATTAAAAAAATTATTGAAAATTTAACGAACCATACCGATACCGAAGAGAAACCGACATGATTGGGACGGTTTCGAAAAGTCTAGTTTTGGTTATATATAATAGAATAACCGAAAAATTAATATTATATAAATTTTATAAAATAACCGGCCGAACCGAATCATTGTTACCCCTTACTTCTAACTATGTTAAGACATATCAAGAAACCCAGATTAGAAACAATTTTTTCACGTCTATTGTCGTACCTATTAAACGAGAAAGTTCCATTTAGTTAAGATACTCTTAGAAAATGCACGTCTTTCAAAAGGAAAGCATGAATAAATAACTAATTATAAGGAAAATGAGAATCTCAGTTGGCATCAGAAAACAAATCTATCCACCTACCCTCAATTTTTAATTGACAGCCTCACCTATAGGAAGCGTGTCTTATTGGGTTGCTACAAATTCATGACTCTTGTAAAAGAAAAAGTTCAATAAATATACAAATGTTAAAAATAAAATCGGTTATTCCATTGAATATATCATTTTTAAGATTGTCAATAAAGAGGATGATTTTGAAAATTTTGTTGGTATTGAATCAGTCTTTTATTTTGAAATATGATTTAAGAATAACCTTTACTATAGTCTAAAAGATATATACCATATTCGTTGATTCGCTCTAATTTAGCGATTAATAAGTATAATTTTTCAATGTAAAAACTTCTTCATCGTATATATGCACGTATGGGTGTACATGGACCGGATTGGTAAATAAAAACCAAATCAACTATATCGGTTTGATTGGTTTGGTTTAGTAGGATTTTTCTGATTTTTCTGATTTTTCTGTTATTTTTTTGTTACATGAATATTATTCGAATCTTACTTTGTTACCGTTTTGATAAGTAAATATAGTATATGTTTAGCAAAAATTAAAATAACTGACAAACATATGATCTATTAAAATATTTTTATGAGAGAATTTTCTTAATAACACATGATAGT